ATATATTACAATTGTAGGTAGAAAAACGTAAGGTAATAATATATGTTTCAGTCACGCAATGGTGCAGTGCGCAGAGATTTTGTATCACCTCTTTATAGCTCGCGACAATGAAAAAGAAACGAACACAAATGTAAATGTAGTACGAAGAGTGTGTTAGTACAAGGTCAGTAATGAAATTCAACACTACATGGCGTGTATTATTCTCCAACTGCTAACGGCCAGAAGGTGAACTCTCGTATGCATATAAACACAAAGCAAACGTGAGAGAAATTTCCTGAAGAAAACTATAGAAGATCGATATAATGGACTAACTGTTATGTAACACGCACGAACAGTTATATTAAGATTCCAAAAACAGTGCAACTATTTGAAAATCTTTTCAAAAAGAATTCGTTATGTATATTTTTTCGAAATATCGATAATATTATTATTATTTATATTCATAAATAATATTCATAATAATATATACGATTACAAACCATTACAGTAGAATAATGAAATATATTACGGGATAAAAAATAAAGAAGGTATGAGGATAAAAATTATATAAAATGATAATTCTGTGTTGATTTTACTTACCAAAAATGGTGTTGTTTGGATTCATTGCGACCTGATTTTTAGCCGCATCGCCAATCAGTCTTTCAGTATCCGTGAAAGCAACATAGCTGGGTGTTGTTCGATTTCCTTGATCGTTTGCAATAATCTCAACTTTTCCATGCTGGAAGACACCTACGCATGAATACGTAGTGCCCAAATCGATTCCAACTGCTGGAGCCTTCGCCATATTTTATCGCTGCAAAAAATAAAATTAAAAATATATTAGTAAAAAAGTATTAAAAAAATTAGATCGATTTAAATTTGCAAATTTTTCTTCTAACATTCAACCCGTAGCTATATTTTCGAGTAGCATAGTACACGTTTATAACAGTACGACGCAATAACTGCACAAGGCCATTTCAACAGTCATACTGACATACTTCATAAGTAGCCCAAATAACGTTAACTTATTATTTGATTTTGCGAAGAAAATGCACAAAAATAATATTCAGTGATAAGACGTAACAAAAAAAAAAAAGTAAGATAACTCACAAATTTTCGTATCGCTATAGCAACTACAATTTTACGTTCTATTTATAATCGACTTATAATCACTTAGTTGAGGTAAAATTTGTTTCGAATTACCAATTGTTAACAAATTTACGAGAAACTGAAACGCACAACAAAAGCACAACCCGGCACAAGTCTCGATGCTCGAAATCCAACGGTAAAACTTATATTAAATCATTTTTAAATCCAAAGGAAAAAAAGAAACAATCGTATTGACTCGGGCGTGTCGATACTTTACAGACATGATGCAACTTCAACACGTTTCCAGTATCTAGTACATCTGCACACTTGACCGTAACGAAAAATTCACTAAATAAATAAATTATAAACCGTATTATCACAATGTATTCAAATACACTTACTTTTTGATCGTTCGTATATCACGAGAAAATCGTAGTAGTAGTAGTAGTGTAGTAGTAACAGCAGTAGTCTAACAATTTCCACTTAAGTACAATGTTCTCTTCTTGCGTATGGAAGTCTGACTGAGCGCCGTATGCACGGCGGCCTTTTAATACACCAAATCTCGCGCTTCGAGAAATTTCTATGGATGACCAATCGTGGCAACTTGGTGATTCAAAGGCGCATTTTCATTGGCTCAAAGTTCTAGACGCATCCAGAACGAAGATAAATATATCAAAGCGAGACATAGCATAAGGAAAGAAAGAGAAAACAATCATGATGGAAGAAACACGGGAACGTACTGGAACGTATTGCATTGAAGATCACAGTTATAATTAGCACGTTAAATCTTTTCTTGTTTGTCAGAAACTTAACTGCCTAGATAAAATTATACTCATCGATAACATCAATGATATAGAAAAATACAAATAACTTAGCATATTACTAATACTTCCAGTATATATACCTTACGTAAAAGAAGATTTTTATATAAATGTTCAGATATATAATAAATAAATAAATGTAATTTAATATACTATTAATATAAACATACATTATATTTCTTTACATAAATCTTCATTTAATATAAAAACTATAAACAACTAAAAATAGTATAATGCAAAATCTACGTTCGATCACGTAGTCCAAATATATGCTAAATATTTTGGTTTACATATAATTAAATTACATTTAAAATATTAAAAATATTATTCTCTTAAATAACATCATCTTCAAGTAAAAGATTTGTCAACTTCACAAATATATTTACACTAGAAACATTCAAATGTAGTTATATATAAATTCAGAGCAGTTCGATGATCGTTATAAAAATAAATTTGCATAAACATATCATAGCTATATAGCAATTTCTACATATCTCACTTTGCATACGTATTCTAATTTAAGAAGAGCTTAATTTACATCAGTGAATTAATATAACTGCTTTATAACTTACTATTACATCACGTGAGATTGACTGTTACTAAATATGTTAATATCTGCATGTGGCTGCGATACTAGAAGAATACATTATGTAAAAATAACTTTAGCTAGATAGTAGGGGACAGCAAATGCAAATCATCTTTCGAAATCTAATAACAACCAAAAATCAATGTTAATATGCATATTTTCTGCATTATTTATATACTATTAAAAATATTCTATTGAAATTCCCTTGAAAATTTTATTAATATAACAATATAATAAAATTAATATTATATTATAACATATTTACCTTCATATGTTTTATTGAAGTGGCAATCTTACATGAATAAATGAATATACGCTTCAGTTTTTGCTTCAAAAGTTTGGCGCGAAAATAGATTTAGAGTCACTTTTGTTATAAATAAAGAAGGTTTATCTTTTAAAAGTAAAGTTTTTATTTTCACTTCTTTTTTATTAGAAATGTAATTATATTGCATCGTATATATCTTAATCGCAATGAGTAATGTAGCGTAATATTTGACTTCCACTTCTTGAAATTTCTATCAAAATCTAGAAGCAGTGTCATTGAAAATGAATACACCGGGGAAAATTAAGAAATTAGATGAAACTGTAGTAAATAGAATTGCAGCTGGTGAAGTAATACAGAGACCAGCAAATGCATTAAAAGAATTAATCGAAAACAGGTTATATACTCAAAAATTACATTTGTTACGTGTATTTCTTTTACAATATAAATTTAATTAACTAACTACAAATATTTCAGTCTTGATGCAAAAGCAAGTAATATACAAATTATTGCTAAAGAGGGTGGATTAAAATTATTACAGGTATTTTCTCTAATTATTTGAACGAAAAAGTAATTAGTATGATAGAACATTTATCATTGATTTTCAGATTCAAGATAATGGAACAGGTATTAGGAAAGAAGATATGGAAATTGTTTGTGAACGATTTACAACAAGTAAGTTACAAACGTTTGAAGATCTTCAAACAATATCAACTTATGGATTTCGTGGTGAAGCCTTGGCTAGTATTAGTCACATATCACTTTTAACAATTACAACAAAAACTGCAAATGAAAAATGTGCTTATAAGTATGTTTAAATATTTAAAGATATTTTGTAAAATTTTAAATACACTTTCTACACATTTTTTATTTTTTTCATACTAGGGCATCATATGTTGATAGTAAACTAAAAGCACCACCTAAAGCATGTGCTGGAAATCAAGGCACTACTATAGTAATTGAGAATTTGTTTTATAATGTTGCAACAAGAAGAAAAGCTTTATCAAATTCAGCTGAAGAATTTAACAGAATCACAGATGTAGTTACAAAATATGCAATACATAATCCTAATGTTGGATTCATACTAAAGAAACATGGTGAAATAACACCTCAGGTACTTCATAATATATAAACAGTTGAACAGTTGCATATAAGTGTATCTTTAATATTTAGGTTCGTACACCACATAACTCAACTAAAATGAGTAATATTAGAATACTTTATGGTAATCCTGTATTTCGTGAATTATTAGAAGTGGAACTTGAAGATGATGTTTATAAATTTAAAATGCATGCTTTAATAACAAATCCAAATTATACAAATAAGAAGATGGTATTTCTCCTATTCATTAATAACAGATTAGTAGAATCTTCTTGTAAGTTTCCAAGTATCATAACACAGTTTTTATATATAAAACATAAATTTTATAAACATTTTATTTTAGCTATTCGAAAAATGTTAGAAGAACTATATACGTTTTATCTTCCAAAAAAGACCCATCCATGGTGTTATGTGTCTTTAGAAATTAATCCACAAAATGTTGATGTCAATGTACATCCAACGAAATATGAAGTTAGATTCCTTCATGAAAATTCTATCATTGAAAAAATGAAACTTGCTTTAGACGAAAAATTATCTGGGAATAGTGCTTCTAGAACATTTTATGTGCAAGCACGACTACCAAAAGTAGATATCACTAAAGAAGTTTTAAAAGAAGTTTTACCGGAATATGAGAAAGATAATAATGATAAAGTAAAAAAAGTTCGACCTCAGGATATGATCAGAACTGATGCATCTAATCAAAAATTGGACAAATTTAATTTTACCATTCATTCAGCAATGAAATGTGCTAGAAATGATAACAACAATCAAATTGATTTAAATAACACAAACGTTGAAAATACTACAAGCAATAACGAAAAAGAAACTGAAAAAATACAGTGCTTAACACGAAATGTAAATGATACAGAACAAAAAGATACGTCGACGCATGCTGAAGCAATAGCAACAGAAAAATCTAGTTCTCCATGGAGTAATATTATAAATAATACAAGTCCATCTATATTAGATTCAACACCTGATGAATCCAATCCAGATTTATGTAATCAAAATATTAATGAAGATGAGTATACATTAAATAATACCCAAGATGTTTTAGAAATTACAAATGACGAAAGTACAGTAGATGATTCTATGAAAGAAGATTGCATTGACGTTATCGCAGATAAAGCACGTAAGCAAGTATATAAATGCTTTGGAAGTAAAAGCAATATATCACAAGAAGCAAAGATGGAAAAAAATAGTATACACAAAGAAGAAATAAAACATTCAAAATCAGAAGAAAGTAATAAACCTGATGAAACGCAAGATATTATTGCACAAACGCCAGAAGAAAGTGATAGCAATAAAAATGCCAATGGAAGTTCATATGAGTTTAAATCTTATTCAATAAATAATTTTAGAAGAGAAGTAAAATTGACGAGCGTCTTAAAATTACGTAAAGAAGTAGAAGATGCATGTCATGACGGTCTAAAACAAATTTTATCAGAATTATCTTTTATTGGTTGTATAGATCAGTCCTCTGCTTTAATTCAAAGTGGAGTCAATTTGTATCTTTGTGATACACAAAAATTAGCGTGAGCATCAATATATGTATTTACATAAAATATTCTTATACATTAAAAGTTAAGTTACATTTCTTTTTTATTTAGGCAACAACTATTTTATGAAATTATGCTGTATGATTTTGCAAATTATGGAATCATCAAATTTTCGGTATGTACACAAATTATTAAAATTACTGTTACTATATTGTATTTTATACTCATTTGCAGGAAGCACTTCCATTATACGACATAGCTCTATTAGGATTAGATACTAAAGAAGCTGGGTGGACAGAAGAAGATGGATCAAAAGAGGAATTAGCTACAAGTGTTAAAGAATTATTACTGGAAAAGGCAGATATGTTAAAAGAGTATTTTTCTATTGTTATAGATAAAAAGGGAAATTTAAAATCTTTACCAGTATTATTGGGTAAGTATATATTTTAATAAATTATCTATTTCTTAAATGCAATACAAAATTAATTTGCTTTCCAGAAAAATATTTTCCGTCTGTGGAAGGTCTTCCTCTCTATATATTACGTTTAGCTACAGAAGTAGAGTGGTCATCAGAACAACCGTGTCTTCGAAGTATTTGTACAGAAACAGCAAGATACTATAGTCAAGTAAGTTTCATGCATGATACTTACGATTGGAAATACATTACAGAACATGTTTTATATTCTGCAATTAAAGAGAGTTTTCTTCCCCCTAAACATTTTACACATGATTCAACAATATTACAAATAGCCAATTTGCCTGATTTGTACAAAGTTTTTGAAAGATGTTGAACTTTTAAGATAAAATTGATTATCATAAAAGATAAATATCTTCTATTTAATAATAATGTTAAGTTACACTATGACCAAAAGACAATGCTATTTATGATATTGCCTTATAATGTATTTATTTTTATGAACTTCATAATAAATTTTCTACTAAATTAAAAATTATCTTTGTATACTACTTTAATGGAATGTAACAAATAAAAAGTTGGTGTGATAAAAGAAATGACTTATTTAAATACGTACATGTCTATTTACATCAAAGAAATATGAAAATTCAGATCATATTACACGTTTTTTAAATCTTATAGAATAAGAACAAGTTTATTTTTGATAAAATTTGTTTTTGTTTAGTATATCAATTATCTGACATTCATACTTTGATGTGTTACATTTAAATTTTAATTACAATATATATGTGCCAATATTTCATTCACGGGTACCTCATATGAGATTGTATTTAATCCCACTTTACTTAATATATAACCACAAATTATCCTTTGGCAACACCAACCAATGCTGGTCTTACTACTCGTTCATGTAATTTATAGCCCAATTTAGACACAACAACAATTGTTCCTGGTTCTTTACCTTCAACCTCCTACAAAAAAATATGCTTCTTGTTATTATTTGTATAATACACTATAATACATATAAATAAAACACAAAAATTTTACTTGTTGAAACAATGCTTCATGTTGATTAGGATCAAACTTTTCATTCAATGGATTTAATGAAACTAAACCATGTTTTTTAAACACCTATACAAACATGTTTCAAAGTAATAATTTAATACATTTTTTTATTATATAGAAATGTAGTTGAATCATATTTTCTTATTTACTTTATGTAACTGTGCCTCTGTCATCTTTAAACCTTCGAATAATGTTTTTAAATGAGGATTCTTTTTTGTAAGTTCATCTTTTGGTACACTTTCTGTAGCTTTACCTAGAATGTCTGCTACTTCTAAAAGATCTTTACAAAATCCCTGAATACCAAACATTTTTGCATCTTCAATTTGTTTATTTAATCGAACTCTCAGATTTTCTCCATCAGCAAGTGCTCTTTTGTATTTATCTTCTACCTCATTTTTGTAACTCTTAAGATCTGTTAACTCTTTATTAAGAAGTTCAATGTCTGCTTTCAATTTTTTTTCATTTTCTGTAAGTTCCAATATTGTAGATTGAGATTCCCCACTTTCAGATTTTTGCTCTTCTGTAATTGTACTATACTCTTGCCTTTGCCAACAAACATGTGATGGTTGAGTTAACCTTAAAATCATCAAGAATGATTTAAAAACATTCTTTCTCTTTCTTCCCAAAAGAAGTATTTCAAAATAAATTATTATTAACATATTTTTACTTATTTATTAAGATACTTCTTACCATAAAGTATTATTGAAATTGTTTACTAATGATATAACCAAATAACTATATGAGGTTTTATTTAAATTTTTCACAACTTTACAAAATATTATCCTCTTTATTAAATATATTACAATTTTATTTAAAAAAATGTTATAACAATAAAGAAATAAACACTATTTAGCAATCTAACCTTTATATATATGTTGCAATACACGTTCAATGAATTTGTCTATTTTAATAATATAATGAACTACAAAACATATAGTCTTACCTAAGTAAAATATTTTTATTTATGTTGTGCAAACTATCAATTGTGACACGAGTAAATCTCGTTGCAACCGGTACTACGAACGATGCCATCATTCTTAATTTCATGAAAATCGGCAAATGATGAAATACAGCGATCCTCGTGCTTTTTCAGTGGTTCTCAAACATCTCTTGCAACATAAGAATGGAGATAAGAAAGCTTTAACCACAAAATATTTCAATGTATTACGTAAAACATATTATTAAATTTCTGATTATAATTGCTCACTATGTTTGTATAAATATTAAGATTGAAAATTAATTTATTGACAATTATTACAATTGTATCATATTTTCAATATTTTATTGGAATGAAGTGGTACAATACAATGAAAACTGTTCGTGATCGTAACTTTTCTGATTCTATATGTTCTTTTAATACCTGCATATCTTTTATTTACAAAAACTGAAATTATTATTTAACATGGTAAACAAGCAAGAGATTTTAAACAGTGACATTATATCTTGATTAGAAAAATTAATTTTATAGCGTGATAGTATCTCGAACTATTTAGAAACTTTCAAATCTAAAATAAGCTACAAAAGTTCATATTTTTTAATGCATGCAGTATGTTAATCCGGATAGCATTGCAAATTTGTCATTTGAATAATTAAGCTTAATTTGTTTATTATCTTGTAGAGATAACTCGTACGTTAAGTTCTCCCACCAATAATGATTTGCAATTTGTATTATACTAGCATTTATAAATAAGAATAATTTGATTTCTCCAAACCTATCAAATAGGTTTTTTTTTTTTTTTAAGATCTTTCATAATATATTTTATGGTTGTATCCTTATTTTCTTATATTTACCTTTTGCATGATAGAAATATTTTTCATTTATCTTTATGTAAAAGTATTACAGTGTAATTCTATTGATCTCAAACAAAAGAAACATTGTATAAGTTACTTGCACATCTCAATCATAATAAAATTATAATAAATATGTAATGTTTTCAGATGTGTGTACTTGGAAGAAGTGAAATATATAACACATAAAAGAGTACTACTTGATTTTAAGAAAAAACAGCAAACAGATATAATTTGTATTGAAGGTTATGTAATGTCATTGCCCTTCGATTATCGATAGCAAGCATTGTATACATCTTATCTGGCATACTTGTTCAACATTTAATACAAAAATTAATCTATTTTTATCTAGTATTACATTCCGAGTGTGCAAACGTTGACCAACAAATTCTAGTGGTAAAATTACTTAGTTATTACATTTTTTTAATGTACATAAATAAATCATTTATCAATCAACTATATTGTTCGCGTGCCTTCTGGTAGATCAAAGGTCAAATTTCATTGTTTCATGTCAAGATAGAATAAAGTTTACAAACGCTCAATTTGTTCGGCACGCGAACTCAAAAAAATGTACAAGTTTTGTTAATCCTTGTACAAAATTATAAATGTTCTTAAAATTTGTCTTTTTCTTTATACGTTTTAAGTGAAAATACAGAGCAGACGACTATCCTTTCGACCACGTCTCACAAAGTTTAGTATGTGTTTTGGCTTCATATTTGAATTAATTGTGTCTGATACAATGCCAAACACAGATCAATCACACATTATCAATCATTTGACACCATTTTTGAAGATAGCTAAAATATATAGAGGTTAGAATCCTTCCTGATACTGTTTTGAATCTAACTTCGTTTGGATTACTTCCAACTGTCTCTTTGCTTCACATTGTGGAAAGTTTTGTAAATCATAATATTGTGGTGCAATTTTAAGCAGCCAATCAGCTATAAAAAAGTATTACAATTATAACAACAACATTTATTCCATATTATTTAAAAATGCAAGTATAACTTACGTTTAATATCTGTAACTGTTCTGATATAATTTTTGGTCGTAAGCACGAACTCGTTATATATTACCCACTCAGGTTTATGATCTAAACAACTGCTTGGATGAAGCTGTACAATTTGATTATCTTTTATAGTCAAATAATGACCAGTCCTTTCTAAATGAGCGACCTGGTATACATAAAAAAGAAAGAGGTAATACCATGTACCCGAGAAAATTTTTTCCTGTAAAAATTAAATATTTTTACCTGCATGAAAAAACCGCTCACAAGCGCTTTTCTGATATTAATATAATAATCTTTTGATGTAAAATCTGTTGAAGTACGTTTTAAATAAAATCTATCCATTATTCTACTAAGTTGTTGTCTAACATTGTCACCACTTTTTAAAGATCGATAATTAACGAAATTATCATAACACCACTGTGGGTCTTCAAAATCTATAAAAGAAAAAAAAAAAAAAAAAATTATAATTTAACAAAAATATAATGTAAGCTCAAAAAAATCATAAATACCTACTTTGCTTGAAAGCGTGATATACATTTAGTAATGTCAAGTGATCTCCATCGATGTGTGCAAATCGCATTTTAGCATCATCCGCAGCTTTCTTTGATTCATTTGGCCTCACAAAACACTGTGGGACTAATACAATATCAATCATCAATTTAACACCACGTTACCTTACCATGATCCTGACTTACTAACTTTTATTTTTATTGTATTAAAATTACTTTATACTCAAAACAAATATGTACCTAATAGTGTCACAAAAGGAAATGTTCTTAATAATACTGTACCTGACAACATGGCAGTAATACTTAATATTTCATTACTGCAGTTATGATTGCAAGATGCAATGAGCATTTTTGCCAATTGAGGATCTAATGGAAATTCTGCCATCACAGCACCCAAATCTGTGAGATTTCCATCATCGTCTAAAGCAGCCAAATAATTAAGGAGTTCCAACGCTCGCATAAGTGTTTCTGGTGCAGGTGGATCCATAAAGTCAAAATGTACCTAAAGTAAATAAATGCATTGTGAAAATAAATATTTAAAGCATAAAGAGTAAATTATTTTCATAAAAAATATAACATACCAAATCGTCAATACCAAGTTTCTTTAACTGTAATACAACACTCCCAAGATTGGATCTTAAAATCTCAGGATAAGTATTATCTTGCATTTCGTTTTTATATGCTTTCTCTGTATATAATCTAAAACATTTTCCAGCCCTTGTACGACCAGCTCTACCAGCTCTTTGCTGAGCAGAAGCTTTACTAATAGGTGATACAAGTAGAGACTCTACACGAATTCTAGGATTATATACCTGTTAAAAGATACAATGTATATTAACAAAATTATTTAAAAATAGTAGAAAGAAAGAAAGAAAGAAAGATTGAAAACGATTTAATACCTTTTGCTTTGCAAATCCAGGATCTATTACAAAAACAACACCATCGATAGTTAACGATGTTTCCGCGATATTAGTTGAAACTACTACTTTTCTACCAATAGCACCACTTGGTTTCGTAGGTGGTGCTGGTTCAAAGATTCTTTGCTGAAGGTTTGGAGGCAGTGTGGAATAAAGTGGTATACATTTAAGTTCTCCTGCATCTGGACCTAGACTATCCATTTCTCTTTTGATCCTTTTACAAGCTTCTTCAATTTCTTCTTGACCAGTTAAGAATAGGAGCAAGTCTCCTTCTACTTCCTCACACATGTGTATTTGAGTAACAGTTCTAATAGCAGCTTCTAAGTAATCTCTTTCAGGTTCAGGAGTATAATAAATTTCAACAGGATGAGTTCTGCCAGGTACATTCATTAAAGGTGCATTATCAAAATACTGTTGAAATTTTCCAGCATCTAAAGTTGCACTCATAATCACAAGTTTCAAATCTGGTCTCTGTTTAATCACTTCTTTTAACACACCCATAAGTAAGTCTGTAGCTAAAGTTCTTTCATGAGCCTCATCCAACAGTATCACTTGATAAGCATCAAGCATAGGATCTGACATGCCTTCACGAAGAAGCATACCATCAGTCATATACTTCAATATAGTTCTCGGACTACTACAATCTTCAAAACGAATACTGTACCCCACTTCTTGGCCTGTTTGATAGATTAACATGGAAAACATACATAGATGACATAATTTCTAAATTAAAAGATATATAAAAATCTTTAAAATTAAGAGGGCATAATATATACCTAATATAACATCCATTTCTTCTGATACTCTTTGTGCAACAGACATAGCTGCTACTCTTCTTGGTTGAGTACAAGCAACTCCCTTATTACAATTCATTGAATATTCTACACACCATTGTGGTATTTGTGTAGTTTTACCTGAACCTGTTTCTCCAACAAGTACGATACATTGATGTTGTAACAATAATCGCATGAAATCAGCACGATATTCAAATACCGGTAGAGTGATTCTTTTTTTATAAAATTCATGATATCTTGGTGTAAGAGGTAAACTATTATAAGGATTTAGCTGAACTTGGCTTTTTGGTGCTGTCGAAGGTGTAGTTGTGCTATTAGATGTGGCTGAATCATCTCTGTGAAACAACAGGTAAACCATGGAATATATAAAGTCAATTTTATTACTTAAAAATTATTTTCCTTACTTTTATAATAATATAATGGAAACAATGTATGTATGATGACATTATAAAAATAATAAAAGTTGAGAACACTTGATTGGTTATGAAAACTAATCAAATAGAAGACAAATGATTTTTAATGACATATCAAATTTTTATATAAATTAATAATTAATTCTAACACGTATATTTTAAGTATCGTTTAAAATTATGTTTTCCCACAAATATTAATGTACAATCTATTCGCAGAAAGAGAAATCTAGTTGAGAACCTTTATAGTTGAGTTGACCAAACAAGTCAACAGCAACAGAAGAGAATTATTTTATAAGTTTAGAATGTTACATTTATAAAATTTTTTCATTATATTATTATTCATCTAATCAAATTCATTTGCATAGACTATTTTGAGGAAATGAGATTTGTTCAATGAGATGAGCGATAGAACTATAAAAACTTGTAACAATGCACATGGCAAAACATCTTATCGTATTTTTTAATTTTTACATTTAAAATACATTAGAACACTCACCGCCTCCGTTTAATATACGGATCCACAACCTCGATTCTCCGTTTTGACATAATTCTTGTCCCTCCGGAGGCAAGTAAAGCAAAATCTGTTTACGAACTTCCACAGAAGGCGTCACAAAATGGCAAACTAACAGGCTAAAGTTTCCTGTAATCATAATGACTAAAAGCAACGAGAGATGGAGCTACAGATACCATAAAATAACTATGGCGCAACAGTGTTTAAGAAATACATTCCAAACGCGGGTAATTTTAAATTTAAGCAAAGATGAGCAATATAAAATATTATCAAGAAATAAATAGACTTATAATAAAAAAGATATTTATTTTTCCATATGTTACAATTAGAAAAAATATAATTAGAATAAGCTAGTCATTAAACAGCTATATTCCTAACAATATACATTGCTTCATTATCACATCCAAAAAGTAATGTTGATCTATCAACATCAATACTATTTATGGACTTGTGCATAGCACTACAGAGTGACATTACATTAACTTTACCATTTGTACCAATTGTATTTAACCAATGTGTATTAGTAGGATCTAAAAGAATAATGCACAATATTAGTTAATATACGATAAAATTTTTTCATTATGAAACTTACCTAAACTCAGTTTTGAATGTTGAGCATTATTCCAATGCCACAATTCACCACTTCCTGAACATGTAAATAAATTTTCTGGTCTATCAGGATGAAATAGTATTTCACTAACAGCTTTAGCATGAGCATTAAGTTGGGACATTGGATACGTATTATGCCTTAAGTCCCAAACTGTTAAACTGCCATCACCACCACCAGCCACAACAATATGTCTTTGAGTTGGATGGTGAGCTATACTTGTAGCTTCTGTCTGTAAAAGTATATTTTTACTTTGGTGAATAAGAAACTCCTTAGAAGTGAAAACATTAAACAGGTCATACTTTTGCTTGATCAGAAAGCATAAATGTTGTAGCAGGAAGATCTTGATCATTTCTTAAATCCCAAACTTTCATATGTCCCCTTAAATTTCCTGTAAGTATCTCATTGTGCCTTAAGAAATCAATACAATATATAGAGCAACTATCAGCATGATCTAAAAAATAAATTTAATTATTTGTAAAATTAGTACACAAAATAAATATTGTATACACAGAATAAAATTATATGGTACCAATAACTCTGACTGGTTGCTTCTGTCCAGCTGTTAGAAGATTAATCTTCCCATCTTCGCCCACTGAAACTATGTCTTGTTCAAATGTAGAAAGTCCAGTGCAAGATGCATAATCACTTGTGTTACTGTTAAAAGAATATTAATTAAACATACGGCATATAATAAATAAAATATTTCTAATTAATAAAACTTACATAAATCTATGTATAAATTCCCATGACATGTGTTCTTTAAATTGAGAGTATGGATTTTCATGTATCTGTAACAATCTAACAGTGCCTATGGATGTTGATACCACGAAAAAATCTTTTGAAATAAACTGTAAAAATAATAAAATACTCATAAAAAAAAAAAAAATCGAAGAACGTATCTTTTATTAAATAAATAAAAACCTTTATCTCAGTAACATCTCCGAGAATCGGGTATGATGAAACAACTGCCGGATAAGATTCACCATCGTCGTTCATTTGAAACGTCCAATGAGTTATTTTATTTACCTATAGTTAAATAAAAAATTCTGATACTGTAAATGGTTAATATGATTTAATACAATAATCACATATGATTTATATGTACACGAGGATACAATAGGTTAAGTTTGCTGGAGTTAACCTTACCGGATCATCCCAACTACCAGTTATAAAATTAGTAGCATCCTCAAAATCTTCGTGTTTCCACCTAATTTTAGAAACTTTTTCCGAAACAAATGTTCCTTGTATATTTTCACTCATTTTGTTATTAAATATAACTCAATTTGGAGTAAAAATGACAAAAGCCAAAATCACCATCTATATCCACGCGCGTTACCACGCGACTGTCAAAAAAACCGCCAAATGACTAAACATATCTTTTGACAAAAAATCTGCATACACTATTTTTTTTTGTAACAAATACACGTAAATAAATTGGTTTTATTATTTTATTTGTTTTAAATAACATAAAAGACAGTTTATTTTATTCAAATAGTTATTCGTTTAAAACTCTGTATATATAATAAAACGTATGTAAGAATGTTTACATTTAAAATTATTTAAGAAAGAAAATTAATTGTACATATTATATATATAGTCGTTAGATATGTACATATATATTATATTGTTTATTCAAGAGAAATGATTTCTATTGATAAATTAATCGCAAAGGGGGTAGGGATTCACCTATATTTTACAATTCATGGGAGATACAGAGGGCAGTCACATGGTGATCAAATCACGAACAAGATATAAATCTTATCTACTAAAACTTGAATTATTTCAAACTAAACAGTATCTCACAAATTTGGAGCCACTGAAGAATTTTGGTACGATTACTTAAATATGCTGTTAAATCTATTTTTAAAATTACCAGGTCTTACGAGATTTTTTATTTAAATAAATGTAATTTCAAATGATCTTAGAACAGATCACTCCCCAAGATGTCATCGATAGTTTTGTTGTTCTTGTATATGAATACGCTCTATTTAACTTGCTGTGATGCAAGCGATGCAAACGTCTCGAAACTCAGTAAGTATTAATAACAAGGTAAGAGACGTTAATGTAACGTGTCTATTGACAAATAATATAATAAAAAATGTGCAAATATTGAAAAAATTAACTTAGCCATTGCAAATATTAACTCAACGAGCGACGAAGGTGTCACGGAAACGCAACAAGCAACTTGTAAAATTGCTACTGAAGAATTGGTCGCAAGTGCACGTGCCAGTGTCACAAGAGTGCTCACAGGGACTTGTAATGCGAGTAAGAAATAATTTTTGAATTTCTCAGCTAGTTAAAATATTTTCTAATACATAAGTCCTATTCGTAAATATTCAGAAATAATCGACGAGAAGCTGCAAACTTTAGAAAAAGTTCTAGTCAAAGAACTGGAAGAAATTAAGACATTATTGTACATAGTGTTGGAGAAAAAAAGAGCACTGCCAAAATTATACCAAAGTAGTATAATATCTCCAAGACAGACTGAGATCGACAATTTTAACAACACGATCCAAAGAACGTCATCGTTAAACGGTTTGTATGAAACAGAGTCGAAGAGTAAAATTATTTCGAGTGTTCGATTTTCGCGACTTACACCATAACGAAAAATACGTGTCAACAATGTAGAAATGAAATCGTCGTAAAACACCGAGTAAAAAGAAAATAATACGTTCGAAATTTTCACGGTGTCTTAATATGTTTTAGGGTCTACGGGTTTCTTCTTTTATTATTGGCAAATAAACCATTTCGACGAGAAGCTTGCCAATTGGAAAACTGCTCGTTCCATACGTAGTTCGACGTTTTACGTAGGCCAGAATGGATATGCCATGTACATCAAAGTTACTCCACGGTATTTTCCGGACGGTACAATTTTCATAGGAGTTGGATTGACTCGTGGTGCTCACGATTCCATCCTCGAATGGCCATTTCCACATAAGATTCGCCTCGAGGTAAAACGAATAATTCTAGCCTCGCTTTGCTTTTACTAGCCTCGCTCTCCTCCCATATTAAAACCATCGTGACCTTCAGATTTTAGATCATTCAGCCGAGCAATCGCGACAAGATCGCCGATCACGAATCTGGGATCCGTCTACGCTTTGCTCGGAATATTTTTGGGGTCGTCCAAAATTAACTGGACAACCAGATAATCCAGAATGTGTTGGATTGAGTGTCTCGAGACAGGTTCTTTTCTTCAAATTGCCGGTTACTATTGATCATCTATCAAGGAGTACAAGATATGTTTGGGATGGTAGTATTACGATAAAACTAACTGTTTATCTTTAGATAAACTTGTAATTGGAAGATCATGTATGTAGTAATTTTTTAGATATTAGTACTCTTTAATTAACTTTATTCAGGTTTCATTAAAAGTACAAGCAGTTGTGTAGAAGGAAAATACCTACTTTGTGAAGTGCTTGAACCGTATACTCTATCGCTTAAATAAATTTCTTATTCGAATGAAGACGAGAAAGGAAAATAAAATGGAATAATAAAATATTTTTTAATATTCCTCTTAGCGAATGATTCGCATCACTCGTATATTTAAACGCTCAAGTTACTCTAGAGACGATGATGGAATGTCGAACCTCTTAGGAAGAGGCATTCTGCCAGAAAAATAAACCTGCGGAATCAGTCCTGACAACTGGTACTCATTCATGTCACGTTCAATTGTGTTGCGAACATTTTGAGAGGCTGCCCTCAGCAATGCCTTGTAGACAGAAAGCGGAAGTCGGATGCTGCCGCTTTCTTCCTGGTTCGGAGAATCGGCTCGATTTTCATAGAAATTCCTTTTCTTCCCACATCCTGCAAATGATTGATCATTTTAGAATAATCGTGTCTCATAACGGATCAAAGGTTTGATTCTTCTTACCGCTGAATGTATTGCAAAATGGTCTCTTCATTTTCTGCGATTCGTCTGCCGTGAGAGCGTTTAAGAATTGTTGTTCGATCTAACGAGCAATTTGACGAGTTAATTATCGAAATAATTATTAAGATGGTTTATATGATGACAATATACCTTGTTCTGAGGATTCTCGGAATGTACCATGTTCATCAAGCATACAAGTACGAAGAAGATGTAGCAAACGTAGTTGATTACCTGTATATAATTGGAAAAACGTTTAACTTTTTCTTGTTTTTTGGAGTGAAATGACAAATATCCTTGTTATTTGTCGAACTTCATAACGTCGTTCGTTAATGAACCGATAGTAAAAACGATTAAAATCCAGAAGAAAATCTCAATAATTACTAGGGCATACGTAATTTCTAATAAGCATGTCGATTATATAAGTATCACACATGAAGCTTTCAAACATGTTAACTGTTGTAATCTGCTTATGACTTTAATCAGGTTTATACTGCGGTTAATTAATGTCGAACGATACTAGCCGGTCGATCGTTCCTTCGAGCGATGAGTTCGTCGTCCATGCAAGTGATAATTTTGAACTTTTACTTGTAATATAATATACCAACGAAACAGATAAATCAATTCGATATTACGATTAAAAATAAGTTGCAAGTTATATTCTAATAAGATCAGTAAACACCTGTTATTACTTTTAACATTTTTTCCTAGGTTTCCTCCTTGGAACTTGCAATGTCCTATTTCGTATATAATTATATCGATAAATGAAAAGGCAAATTGGAACCTTATAAGAAGCTGTCAACTATTAACTAGAAGCGATATTGCAACGTGCCAGTAAATTGATATATAATCTACATATACATATAATCTATAACAATACATAAGAGAATACTCTTAGAGGCATACATAAAGTGTTTTACTTAAGGATAATTTTACCGAGTAAAAATAAATCTTCTTAAATAATAGTAGCTAAGCCGTGGCACGTTTCAAATAATTTCAATATTAAAATATCCTCTAGAAATTCTTTTTTTTTTTTATCAGACATAGAAAATGAGATTCTTTCAACCTTTGAAGATTCAGATAGATAGAAAGAAGAGGTAAGTTAGAAGAATTACCTTCATGTCGAATCTCTGCAACAAGAGTACAGCTTCTGGAACTTAAGGAAAGATCCCTGTAGGAACTCGAAGGGGCACTTTTTGACTCGAACTTCCTGTGACTCGGCTACGTCTGCGTATGAGGGATGAAATCGCGCGTCAGCTCTTCAAATACCATCCCCTCCTTCGACATTATTCGAGGGCGTAAATACATGCGCCAGGAGAACGCATGACCGTTCATAATGGTCCTCAGAACGGTACATTTAACGTCCTTTATTATACAGAATATTGTTAGTCTTACACATATTCCGTAGTCCGAACGATGTAAGAAACATAGAGACTATGCACTTGCACGTATTTCATTCGTATCATCCGCTTCGTCTGGCGTAATTACTGATGCGTTAAAGGTTAAGGGATTTCATGTTGAAGCAGCTAAATAATGCATATTTTTGTAAACATATTTTGACAATATATAATAATATTTTATAAGGAATAAAAGAGATAAGCTTTTCCTTCGTATCTGATTTCGATCTTATGTAACTTTCTCCTGAAAAAGTATTATCTCAGAGATGTACGTTCCCTAAACAATTACGAAACATTTCAGTAGGTTTCTACCCCCTGTGGCATCATCCCACGCATATCCGATTGGAAAAGTAGCAAACTATATTCGATAAATATGCAAAGGTCGAAAACAAGATCAAAATATCATACGAGGATCAAGCTGTAAGAGCAGAAGGTTGACCGATAAGAAATTCCGTGTAAATTGTAGGAAAGCAGCCGGGGTTAAGCACTTACAACGTTTGCACATCAGAACCCGCTGAGTTACGTTAAGGTTGTTCAACCCTTGGCAACTACCCCTTATCCTCCCTATTTCATTTAAATATTTAAGCTTTATTTATTTTACATATTTACTCGGTCGTGCATCGCATACGAATTAATATCGAATTTATAGAACACGAAGGATTTCCAAAAAAGTACCATGCAGAATATTTTTGGAATCGAAGCATTTTATAGAAATGAAATATGTGTCGTATAATACACGCGTTGTGCACGTGAATCCTTGATTTGAATATCTCTTATTACGATGTCCAAGAATCTATAAATAAAATTTGATATTAAGTTTTCGTAGTTCTTACAACACTTTACAGTCATATAATTTTTACACGCGTAAATTTCACTTCTTTTTCCCTTTATATCGCTTCAATATCGTGCCGAATATATGGTCGATCTTAAATTAATCAACTTAATGTCGTAAATCACGACGGGTTTGCACCTTATGAATAAGAGATGCGTACAGAGAAATATTACGCTTGGTATATGGCTCTTTTCTTCATGTATAAAATGAATGAACATTATTTTAACAGGTGTTATATTTTCCTCGCTAAGAACCACTATGTGAAAATGATAGTAAGAAAATTTAGTAGAATTAAATAAATATTAATAGAGGGAAGTTATTAAATATAAACAAAATATTAGTAAGAGAGAAGAAAATAAGGATAATTTCCATAAATATTTGATATATTATTACATTAATTATAATCATTAATAAAAATATGAGTATTAATTTTCTACAATAAATTCCATGATTAAAAGTTACAAGCCTTCAACCCTTAAGCGCCTGGATAGCTCAGTCGGTAGAGCATCAGACTTTTAATCTGAGGGTCCAGGGTTCGAGTCCCTGTTCGGGCGTACTTTTTTATGGTTTTATTATCAAGTAGAAAAATACGACCTTAATCTACTTTTCCAAAAAATAATTTGAAAACATAAATGTACGTATAGATTATGTATAATATCATGCACATACACAACACACACACAGACGCACACACACACACACACACATCGCATGCATACAAATGAGTAATGTACCCATAATTTAAATGTATATATCGTAATTGTTTTTGACATTTTAATATAGTAATGATGAATTACAGGGTAATAATGAGACGGTATATTATATAAAAATTTCTATTTTTATATATTTTTACTTTTAGTTTGCACATCGAATGACTATTACACAAATTGTGTATACAATTATTTGAGCACCTTTCATAGCACACTTAAAATAAAAATTATCACAATAACGGAAAACTCGATGATAAGATATGCATTTTTTAAGTATTTCAAGTGTTCCGCTTTTCCGTAAATTAAAATATAAATATTTAAAAAGTACAGAAAATATTTCAGTCTGTAGAACACAATATCTTTTAAAATGTACTTGTAAAAAAATGTAACATAAAAGTTAATCGATTTAAAATCAATATGAATATTATGAAAATGAATCAAAAATAGTACATATGAAAATGCATTATTACTTTAGAGAAACAACACCTAATTAGGATTATATCAATCCTTTTGTCATCATTTTAAACTAAGTTTAAGTCATTAGTGTCAAGATCAAAGAATATAATCCTAACACTTAAATTAATGTAAATATAACGTTTTAAGACTGTTCTTTAACACTGCCATCAGGCATTCCAAAGAATACTTTCTTTGCCATTTTTATAAAGAGTCCTGTTTCAACTACTCCAGGCATCATTGAAATTTCTATGTTGATTTTATTCCAGTTACTAAGACCTTCTGGAAAATGCCAATCAAGAATAAAATTGCCATTGTCTGTTATAACTGGACCCTATGCGAAAGACAGATAATATAATTCGAGTAATATTTATCAACGTACAACAAAATTTAATAGAGAATATTTACAGCTTTAGCTAAAGCCATTCTAACTTGCGCAAGTCCTCCATAATTATCTTCAATTCTTTTTTGAATGGCAGTATATGCCATAGGAATTACTTCAATAGGTATACCTTTTTTGTATTGTTCACCAAGTTGTTGAGAATTTTTCCTATAATTAGTAAATACTATCGGTAAAAGTTGATGTTAAATTTATTTCTCCTACATAAGACTTACGTATAATCAGCTACTACAACAAATTGATTGGCACAGGATGCAACAATTTTTTCTTGAAGCAAACAACCACCTCCACCTTTAATGAGATTCATGTCAGAATCAACTTCATCTGCGCCATCAATTGCACAATCCAACTGTTAATATTCAAGTAATAATATAAAGATTCTTTTTATAAATAATACAAACAAAACATTATTTATTACTTCAGGATAAGTTTCCAAGTCACCCAATGTAAGATGATTCTTTAATATTAGTTGACGAGCTTGAAATGAAGTTGGAATACAAACAACATTAAGATTTTCCTCTTTCACACGTTCAGCTGAAAAATATAATTTTTATCAATTGTTTGCTTACATTAAAAAAATATGAATTACCAATATCTCTATTTTATGTAACAAAATTTACTATTCTTAAATTAGAATACATTTGTTGTAATTACATTTAAATCGATTACAATCTTATCTCCTGATGAGGTCAAAGGTCCTCTAATGTTTAGATGAAAAAAGTAACTAGAGATTATAGCAATGCATGAGACAAGTTTATTATAAATAATTATAGTTATATATAAAATAGAATGTCATTACCGAGCCTGTGAACAACGTATATTACAGTAGATCCACTACCAACTCCGATAACGCTGTTATTCTGTAAAACAATTGTGCGCAAAATTTAAATAATGCAACACCGGTGAATTCGTATAACCTGTAATTACACCGTAATTTATCTTAAAATATAAGTTACCTTCACGTATTCATCGACTGCTTTGTAAGCTGCAACTTTTTTAGCATTCTCGAGAAGCCCCATTTTTGGTAAGTCACTTACAACGCTAAAACTATTTCGTAACGCGCGAAGCTGAAAGCGTATACCTCTGCTAAATACCATGCGTGCGTACTGTATTACCAAACAGATCTACTATTTTCAAAATCATCCTCCGGTTATGACCGTTAGAACGAACGAATCAGAAATCAGTACTTGTGCGCATGTTCCGCGCCAAAATTCAAATTCAAATAATTCCACTATAATATTCGAAAAAGTACATTATAATTGTTCGATCCATAGAATAAACATAAACGGTGCAATTTAATCGAATTTCCATTATATTTAGCATCAGAGGCGAATAACACAAAATACAACCAAACACAATTTACATTTCAATAATTATTATGTATAAGATTTCACTTTAATTCTCTATTATTACTTTAATAGTAATATTCGTCAACACTTTTCACTTCAACGTGTCACGCACAATATTTCTGTTTTATCATCGTAATATCTCTCGCTCGTTCTTATTCTTTCTCTCTTCTTTTTTTCACTTTCGTTCAGTACGTCCGTACATTTTGTATCGGTCGAGTGCTTTTTTTTAAAAATCAGGTAAAAATTCGCGAACAATACTCGCGCTGTAATTTTATTGTGTATGTATTCGAGCAGGCTTAGGAAAAAATCTTTAGCAAAACTTCCAGTACGTTGATACACAGTGTCTTTGGCAACAACCTCGTCGAAATTGGAGAACCAAAGGTCTAGCTTCCTCGACAAAATGATTGCTTCTCGACTGTATGTATCGACGTGCAAGGCCGAATTAAGGTAATCTTGTGAGTGCACAACGATTGTGCAATACCTAATACTAATACCGATCACAAGGAGATCAGCCTCGTATAATACAACTGACATCTACCATTATTTTGTCCTTTCGAAATTTGCACATGAAGATCTGCGTTTTTACGCAACGTAGAGTGAACATTGTCTCGAAGCTTACATACATAAAGCCGATGAGTGCGTATCATGGTTTACTTTTTAATCTCTTTAGCTTTGGCAGTGGATCACGCTTAATGCGGCCGTGCCAATAAGTTTGTAACTCCAGTAAGTTTGCAATAATAATTGCAATGCAAGTCAGTGTCTGTGTCCAAAGAAGTACTCTCTATGTGTCTCTCTTTCTTTCTCTATTTATCTTTAGCCTGGTTGTGGGCGTCCATTTTCAAATAATCGACGTCTATTTTAACGGAGTAATTCTCAAAGTGAAAATTATATAACAAAGAAAAAAAAAAAAAAAAGAAAGAAAAAGGTAAAACGTATTCTCTTTCTGTTCTTCTCGTACAGGCACACACATACACGCGTATGTATACATACAGTTTTTCTATCGTTCATTCTTACACTGTCTCTGTTTGCCCGACGAACTAGAAAGGACTTTGTGGGAGAGGCTTCGTTACATCGACTTTCTTTTTGATTCTACCCTTCTATCCCGTACACCACCCTCGATCAAGTGAAACAATAAAATGTAGAAAGAAAATCATTCAGATTTTGGAGGGCCACAGAAGCCGCTACAATGTTTTTTAACCCACTCTTCTTTCTAGTGTTACATACATATATGTATATGCGCTTTGCTAGCTCCTACAAATTTTTCTATCGTGCTCTCCTCCGTACACCACTCGCTTCTTCCTTTGGCTAGGATTACAAGTAAAACTCGTCAGAGTTTCATGGAAAATACCGATCGATCTTAAGATATAATACGTTGAAAAGGAAATAACACGCTCAAATTTGCTTTTCTTATCTTTGGATCAAGACGAGAGCCTTAAACACGACATGATTTTTTTCTTAATCCATTAGCACGAATTCAAATCTTCTCACACAGTTACAACGACATTAGACATAGCTATATTTACGTACTGCAGACGTGTGTCGAACAAATCTTTCGGATACGGTTTTCGAATTCTCGTAATCGCGATTTCGTTTTATTCAACGTTAAAAACAAAAGAATTGCATACTTTTCGTACTCATGTCGTATTCTTTCACTAAACAATAATTACTGCGAGATTTTTTAAGGAAAAGAAAACTCTTAACGTGAGGAAGGCAACGCTGCGACAGTTCTTAATCGTGCATATTCGTATATATCACAGTACAAAAATACTGTGGAAAATATAGTATAATAAATATTTTTAATAAAAAAGAAAAGAAAGTTTCCTTTCTCACGTTTACCATTATTTCTTTTTTTTTTTTTTGGGGTTTTTTCCTTTTTTTTTTTTATCAGATAACTTTTTAGCGATAAAGTACAGTTTTCTGAGAGTGATTTTAATTGATTCGCGCGTCGTTAATAGTACAGCGTTATTAATGTCAACGACACATCCCCTTCGTTAAAATTATCGTATTAATAATATATATATATACAGTCAGACTCCTTCCCGTGTTATTGGGCCACTATCTACATACAAGCCCTATTATTATTAGTTACTAAGAATCGATTATAACGATAAGAAACGGTATCGCAATAAGAGCGTAATATGATAAATTATCGAGATTTAATTAAATTTAAAATTTTTTTATTTACCCGCTACGATAAGTTGCGTGTGTCTGCGTTTCCAATCGCTTTGTCCACGGCTTCGCAATTTCTTTTCTATGTTTAGCCGTCTACGTAATTTTTACTTTAATACGTATGCACACGTAGAAGTGATTACAATTAAAACAACACAGGTCTACGCTCAAACGCAATTAATCGTTCTTGTACACGTGCGTAGATGTATACATACATTCACATAAATGTATGTCGTGTATACATGTATATGTATATTTCTATATAAGTATGTATAATATATATATACATAAATATATATATATATTATTAATATATACTTACATATATATATGTATTAATATATAATATATCTATATATGTATATATAATTTATTTATATTTATATGGTAGGCAATGATACGTAAAATATAGTTAAATATAAATCGAAATTTTAATTTGTTAGAAGAAAAATCTTTTCGTCGAATAAAAAAGGGGAAAATGTCGTACGCGTTTCACGTTTTTCCATCTTTTTTTGTCTTTTTTTCTTATTTTTTTACCCCAATAAAATGTAACGAAACTGAATTCCATTTTTAATTTCTGATTCTCATGAAATTCGTTGTAGAACTGACTACATTTGACAGATAAAGACTTCTTTCAGCAAAGTCTTCTCTTTTTCTATTCTTTTTTTTTTTTTTGTCTTTCTTTCTTTCTTTTCTTTTTTGTTAATTCGTCGGGCGCAAAGGTTTCGATTAAAAAGTCACGGAAAATTTTCTTTTCTGATACTTGTTGAGACACGGATAAAGGACGTGATAAAAACAACCGTTTAAGCCACCCAAGAATATTTTTTTCTGCTCGTTATTTCGTTCACAAGAATAATTTTTTGATAATTTTATTTATTTTCCTACAAAGGATATCCAGAAGAATCGTCGATATCTTTAGAAAGCTTAAAATCTTCCCTTCAATAATGTTCAATCTCAAGATCTTTTCCTCATAAGTATACATCACACCAATTATATGATGTGTATGAGATCTCAAGTTATGTAAGTTCTCGCTTTCTCTATATGTATCATTTAAATAAAATGTATGTTTATATATATATATTTATATATAGTGTAAAAAGCTGTTTGTTAAGATTATGCTGAAATTTCAGAATGAAACATAACAAAAATCCTAATAATAAAAATATAACGATATTAATACAGTATTCAACTGCTGGAACAGGCGTTACATTGTCCCTCGAAACCTTTTTTCTGACAATGAGATGTATCGGGTATTTTCCTGCTACATCGTATAGTACATAATGATAATAAACATATTAAAATAATATTAATAGTAGAATAGACGAGTAAAAATCCAAAATTTTACAATCCCGAAGTGACGTGGAAACAAGGGGAACATAAGTTCGCAATATCAAGAATAGAAGAAAAAACCACGCAATTGTAATTTTTGACTTTATATGAAGTTATTTAATACATAGCAAATCATGTTATTCGTTTCTTTCTTTCCTTTTTTTAATTAATGTAATTGGTTTTTGTATTAAACGTGCTTGGAGTCTTGCTTCGTTCTGAGATTATACGCTTACGAATATATGCAAAATTTGAAAAATAACTAGCTTATCAGTCATCGAGGTACGCACCTTAATGCGAAGTTAATTATTTCTTTTTTAATGTCTGCATTTTACAATTTTGAATATGCACATATTTATTCAGTTTAGATAAGAATACAACATCAGTTTTATTGAAGTACTGAGTGCAAAGGATTCTTTTGACTAACCATACATTCCACAAAACGCTGAATTTTTCTCTTTTTCAGGCATTTCGCGTTAAGGCAATTAGCATACTTTTCATTTTTACATCATTATTTTATATACTGCTTCCAATTCTCACATCACAGGGAAACACGAGAAGTTATTAGAAGTATTCAAAATAGATGCGCGAAGCAGGTAATATACTCAAAAGAACCCGTAAATTAAAATACAACGAAAGATACAGGAAAATGAAAAAGAACGAAATATATGATTTTTTTCAATACCTTTGGTTATTTGTAATGTTATAAGTAATTTGATTTCGAATTTACCATCGAAAAGGCCAAAACACGCGAGAGCATAAAACAAAAAAATTAAATCACACGCTACATATTTTTTATAACTTTTTACAAGTTTATATGTATATATGTATATGTATAATTTTACTTCGTTTTTATCCACATCTTGCAGATACACCCACAAATCAAATAACATAAGTTCAGAAAGTAATACACGAGAAATTAATTACAATATGAAATGTACATAAATCATAAACGAGAAATCTAGGAAAAAATTAAAAAAATAAAGGAATAAGAGTTAAAGATAATTGAAAAATAATTATTGCTCGTCTTTACGAGCTCCTCAGGTTCTACTTTCAGTAGAATCTTCACAAGTTTCAAATGCATTTGCGTGCGTCATACGCTTATACTATATGCATTATATTCGATATCTTCTACGTAAAATGAACATTAATTATACTGTAAATATGAATTAAATCAATTCGAAGAAACAGAATACAAACAATTTTCAATTTTTCTTCCATGCATCGTATAATTTTTACATGTACCAAATCAGTAAAGCCTGTATTACCGAGAAAGAACAAACACACATATAAATATTATTTCGTTTCACATTGTAAAATGGAGTGATTATAGATTTCTAAATAATATTTAAGAAAAAAGAAAAGAAAAAAAAAAATCACAAGTTATTCTTAAAACATATGCAAAAATTGAAAGCAAAAACAAAAATTAAGTTCGCAACAAATACTTTAAATTACAATTAACAATTAATTTTGATAGAGAAAATTATTCAGATTTTTTTTAATTAACTTATTAGCACCCAGTTAAATCTCTCCATTTTTAAATAGTAATTTTTGAACAACAGTAATATATTAAGGGATGGCCCGCCAACTTCATCTTTGAAATTATTGGCTCTGAAATATCTTTTTGAAATAATTCAAACCTCGTGTAGTTGATTACTTAAAATTACTTTTTTCCTAACAAAACGTTATGTACATCACTTTCATGATTTCATAAAGCATGTAGATTAAAAATTGTTAGTCAGTGCTTGCCTTAAAATATTTGTCTCGTGATTAAGATATCTTAAATGTAAACGGACCAACCCAGATAAATTTATAAATGTTTTCCCATAAAACATATTCGTATTTCAAAGACATACATAGCATTAATAACTAGTTTAAAAAAAAAGAAGGAGAGAGAAAATATATCAAACATACGACAACTAAAAAAAAAAATTAACCAGTTTAAATTAAGCACAATTAAACTGGTGCGTATGACGGGCAGTGTGCCTTGTAAATTGTTAAAGTTTCTACATTCCCGAGATTTGATGTGTTAAACAAAACTGAGTATTTTATGAATCTAACTCTTTTTTAACAAACCCATACAACCACCAAACATGAAACGCTAATATAATTGTATTGTTATTATTTTTACCTGCCCATCTCTATCCTCGATCAAGTTATTGTAAGTGAATATAATATCGATGTAGAACGTGGCAAGACTCACTGAGGAGTGTGTACGAGGAGTGTATATGACTGCAAGAAGTGAGTTATTTACATTATTTGCATGTGTCGGCGAATCAGCCCTTGCCCTTGTTCCATGTCACGTAACGACAAAAGATGGCAAGATTAGAGTTTTGAAAAGTGATAAGATAGGGAGGGTGAGGAGGAGGGCATTTGAATAATTATTAATATATAATATTATAATAATAACAATAATGATGAGGTGTTCTAAACAGTGCTAGGACTAGTGCTAGAGGGTCCTGTGAGGAATCAGGGTGGGTGGGTACGGGCTAAGGAAGGGTTAGTGTGGAGGCGGAGGTTCCGTAGATTGGTTTCTGCCATCTACAGCCCTAACCGGCTTCCTACGTGAAGGACCTGTTACGCCAACTGGACCGACACCACCTCTAAGGTACGCTGGTGCTGGGGTTACTATCGGTTCTCTGATAGTTCTACTATATGGTAGTGACAGTGATTCCTGCAATACCTATATAACGGAGTTACAGAAACTAAATTATATTTATCATGTTTCTTTCACATAAAGTTTAAATGTCCAAAATTATGAACTTAATTTGTCCATATGTACTTACCAACGACTCAGGTAATACACTGTGCATCAGTGTTTGAACCATAGGTGTATTTTGTAACGCGAGGTTATTAGAATTTGGGGGTAATCCTTGACTCTGAAGTCCTGTCCCAACAGTGCTGGCCGTAGTAGTCTGAACAGTATGTGATTGTTGCGTAGTCGTTTGCGTTACGTGTTTACTCATTGTTTGATCCCTTTTCGCTTCTTGAGTTACATTTAATTTCTTTGTCGAAATTGTGGAAGAGTTAGCATTTGGTGTTTCGGGACTGTTTGTAGCAGTAGTTGCACTTGATACTGGAGTTTGTGGTACAGATTGTTCCTGTGTTAACTCCGGCAATGTTTGCGAAAGCGTTCCAAGAATAAGTTCGCATGTAAAGAGACTTCTATTTGCACTTTCACGTTCAATATTTTGCAACTGTGAGTCGGAGAGAGAACTGGTAATACATCTATAAAAGAAAAAAGAAACATACAAAGAATTAATTGCAGTAAATATAATAATTAAGAGAAATTATGACTGTATACAAGATTATTTTTTTGAAAATTATACATCTAAAATTTCCATGGATCATCATAAAATGTAACTTTTATCATTTCACACAGTGAACATGATATGCAGTTTTGCAAGTTTCAAACAAAAGATTTTCGCGCGTGCATGCGCGCATGTGTATAAATGTACGTGTGCATACGCGCACGCGTAGTATTTATAAAAATACTTAAATAGCAACGGATGAAAGTCAACATGTAAATCATGTTTTCCGCAGTTTTAAACACATTATTACATGTATTAATACTATGACATAACACATACTTTGGCAATAGAAACATATAGTTTTGTGAACTGGTAGATGATACGCCGGACGGGTTCGCCACATTAGTTGTATTATTGTTACTAGTCGTACTATTTGCTACCACACTAGTCATAGTAGTAGAATGTCCACTTCCACTAACAATTCCTCCACAACTTGCAGAACCAAGAACCTGAGTCTGCCTCCTAGGTAGCCGCTCCAATTGTTGCCTAGCAATCTGAAAAGATATTTCTATTATATCATGTAGTTTAATTTGATACAAATTTTCATTTACAACTGTAATAAAAAAAAAAGAGGATTTCCCAATAATTTTCTTATTATATTAAAATTTGATTAAAATATTCTTACTGGAAACTTTTGTGTTATTAAATTATGCATACTCTAACTTGTTGTCGTTCCAAATGTAGCTGCATTTGCAATTGTTGTAATTGCGATGGTGCTGACGAACTCTGACCAGTTCCTCCGCCACCTCTACGAACAGCGGATAATTGAGAAAGTAATTCTGTAATTGGATCTATACCTTCTCGACTACTCGGACTCAATCCTCCGGACGAACTGAAATGCATATTGGACCTGCAGGTCCAATGACACGCCAATGAACATTATCTAAGATGAGATGATGATGAACTGAAGCTGAAACCCTGCTTAGTGTCCTTTTTAGATATTTAAAGAATAAAATATACCTTTTATCTTAAGGATGGCTATATAATATACTGAGATGATTATTATACTATAAACAAATAATGATAATGACTGATAAATTATAATGTTAATATCATAGAATAAATGAAAATAATGATACTCAACAAAATACATGCATTTCAATATATTACAAAATTAATATACTAATGTAATTCATGGTATTCAATGTTAGTAAAATTTGTTTAAAATAGATTAATAAACTCAAACACATTTGATACTAATTTTAATAAAAAATCATTTCTAAGTATAATTAAATATAATACTCACAATATTTATAACAGATATTATAACATGTCTTTACAGTTATTTCATCTCTCGTGTATATGATTATTATACATACCTGCGAGGTCGTGCCCCACCAACTCTAGATGAATGTGTTATCCGTCTGCCAGTATATCTAGTTGAGGCAGGTTCATCTAGAAAAGACATCAAATCCCTTGGTCCACTACGGTGCTCCAAACTTAAATGACCAGCAAAATCATCAGTTACATTATTAGGATCTCCTCCTGGGACTGATGCACATACTGGACAAACCTACAATAGGATTTATAATATAAATTTTTCTTATGAGATAGTATTATAAAATTTTTTTACAAATATACATGAATAGCATACGTACAACTTCAAAAGAAGTATCTGTATGTTCTGCAGCAACATGTTCTTGTAGTGTAGCTTCAGTGAAACCCATTTTTGCACAATAAGGACAAGTTAAAGATTGTGGCTGTTCTACACTTATTGCCTCTCCACCATAATATAATTCTATTAAATAATAAATTAAAATATTAGTTATAATAATTAAATGTTTAAAATAATTACTGCATATAGAATTTAACAATTAATTTACCAAACTCAGATCTAGTAAGTATACACTGCATAGGATGATCACTGTGGTGACGTGTAGTACTGGCACCTCCGTCATAACAGTTGGCACACAAATCATAATCATAGCATACGAGGCACTTATATCTGCGACCCCGAAAATTCCCCTTTAAGCAGGCGTCACAACTTACCCCTAAAAGAAATAATTATTATAAACAAATCAACATTTTATAATAAAAAAGAATAAATTAAGATTTATTATTAGTATCTGATAAATAGTACATAAACAAAATATATTATACATAAGTAATGTATATGAAGATCTCTAACAAAAAATACAATTGTCTCAACAAAAGATATTTATATATCTATCACTTGTACGTATACATACAATAACCTTGAACTAGATCTATAAAAAGTAGGTTACTTAAGTCTGTTTTAAACACATATACAATTTTTGCAATAAAAAATATAATACATTTTCATTAAAACAGACAAATAGTCTTAATGCTTGATTAATAAATGAATTAATTTGAACAGAGATAAGTAAAATAATAAAATTATTTTACAATAATGTACATTATAACAATGTACACAATAAATATATAATCTTCTTATAAGCAAGTACATTATTTATAGCTTAACCTTAGTTATAATGCACAAAATAATAAATTTTAGAGCTATAATAAAAGTTATACAATGAACTTTGAATAACAAGCACTTTTTTGTTTACCTTTAATTATTACACTTTATGAATTCCACACATTTCAAACATATAATAATTACATGTATATATACACACACACACACATATGTATATATAAAAATATGTGCTTATGTGTACATATGCGTGTGTGAATAACATATACATGCATATAATTTAAAACATATAATAAAGTAAATATGATATTGAGTTCATGGTAATATTATCATAAAAATTAACATATATATTATTATTACTAGCCAGCGATAACATTTTTAAACTTCAATACAATATTTCTAATTTCAATTATGTAACATACATAGGTTCTAAGGAAATAAAAAAGATACATGTGTTAACTATTTTTGCAGACAAAGCATTGAATGGTTTTTACTTCATTAGCTTCATTATGACATTTTAACTTAAAAATCTAATACATTTGTATTGTATGATGTTAATATCGTATTATTAGAATGTAATCAACAATGCATTGTTCAAAAACTATAAACATAAAAGTTAAAAAAAGTTAATAAAATGATTCATTCAAGGATATAGAATAAGAGAAATATGTTTCAATATGTTTTACAGAGTTAACATTGTAAGAAAGAGAAGGGATTGAACAAGAAAAGCTATTTCAAAGAAATCATTTGGTAGAGTACTTTGACAGTTGACCAAAAAATATTTTCCCTA